AAAATGTTCCTGGCATATACTCTACTAAACAGTATCAGTAAAAATTAACATAAAACATCAAGTTATAAATGTAAAACAAACTATTCAAAAGTAAAGCATATTTTTATAATAAATAATACTTTTATAATAAAATTATAATTCTAGTTTTTTGATAGATAGAACACTAAATCTCATATTACAGAAATAGCCAAAATAAGAATAAGATTGAGGATTTTGCTAAATACGGTCAATTAACTAAAAATCTTATCATAACATAAAGTTGAGCATTCCATAAAACAGAGAAGTTTCTGATGTTTAAGTTCTTTTTTTTTTTTTTTTGTAGCTGACATGGATAAAGAAAATAGATTCCTTGAGAGAGTTACATCATTAATTGGGTCAGTGAATGACTCAGATGCTACATCCGTTGTGTTCTCTCCAAATCCTTTGACCCGAAGCCTCGGATGTGTACACACATTATTAGAAAGAATAATGGTTATTCCCAACTTGTAATTATATTAAAGGTGGTTGAAATGAATCGCATATGATTATTCATTGAAATTGTTTTCAAAGACTTCAGAGAGTCCAGCATACCATTTCATTCCCTGTTCTCACACGTTTCTGGTTAATGGCACTGCAGTTATGAGAAATGAGCATCATTGCCCATGTGGGTAGTCCTGTTTTTATATACCCTGTAGATGTGGAAATATATCATTTAAATAATCATCTTATTTGTCAGGGGAGCAAAGAGAAGACAATCCTGTGTTTTTTTTTAACACTGATCAATTGCAGCAATTGTGTTGAGAGTCTGCAATGCATGAAGCTATAAAACCTGGACATTCAATTAGGACAAAAAACAGATGGAGACAACCTGGAAACTTCCCCACTACCAAAATTTAGAAAGATGAGTAAAATAAAGGTAAAGGAACTGAGCTCACAATAGAGAAAAGAAAATCTCCAGGTGTCAGAACCAAATAGGAGCCAAAATCCAACATATACTTGGTAGTGTTGATTCTGAGGAGATTTTGGCAGCAAGGTAAAGTGTCCATGTGTCATGGAAATACACCCCAAAGTCCTGGAGCTTCAGGAAGGATGACCACATGGGAGCAAAGGATGAGTCTTTGGATCATCTTAAGAGTCAAGTTGGACTAGCAGTGTTTGCTTAAGCCAGGCCCCAGATGCACGATACCCTTAGGGAATCTGGATGACTCTCCCTGACGCAGAATGGAAAAAAAGACTCTCCCGTGAGAAACCAAAAGCCTGCACGGCACATAGGTTTGTAGGCCAAGCAAATATTACCATGTAGTATCAAGAATACACTAGTGAAATTTAACATAAAAAATTGATCCAGAATGACTATATCCCAAGTGGAACTCTTGAGAAAAGCAAATGCAAAAGCATTTTCAGGGTATCTTTCACAACATAGGATGCACAGAATATCTCAGAGGTAGTTATTGTCTGCTAAAATAGGGACAATTGCCTGAAAAATTAGACTAAGAACTCCTAAAGATTTAATGCTTTAGCAAGACATACCATTAGAAAAGAACCTTAGAAAATGGGAAAATCACAGTTGGCCATCTGGTCTCAATATCTTCTGAAATGAATTAAGACTACTAAATGTTACCATTGAGGCAATCAGTGTATATGAAATTATTTTTAAGAGCCAGGCACAGTTGCTATGGAATAATGTATATAAAACTAAAGTCTATGACACCAGAGCCAACTATATTTCACTATTTCCCTAAATTATTTTATAATATCGTACTACAAATAGTTCCATGCTTATTTTTTTGTGATACTACAGTTTGAAAAACAGATTAAATAAATGTTAGTAGATAATAGAAAAGTTTATAAGAGAAAGTAAGCAGGGATCTTAAAATACAAAATAGTTAGCTTGACTCGATATTTTCATTTTTGGCACTGGCAGAAAATCCAGTGCAAACTCAGGTTGTCAGCTTTTCTATTGTGTATTATTTCTACTTTTTGTATTTCTTGGAATTATGAAATGCTTTGCTATGTGAAACTGAAAACTTATCCAACGACCTAAATAAGCATTTTTGGGCTCCCAAATTCCCATCTACCTATAAAATTTGAGAAAATACTAGTGTTGTGCAAATGCTTTTCTCCTAGTCTAAAAATATTTTATAAAACATTGACTCAACAAATATTACCAGTGTAACAGAAAAAATATTTCATTGAATGATATTCTTTAACTGTTACTTGTTTTCTTTTCCCCAAAATTTCAAGTAATATAAACCCAAATTTGAGAAAACCACAGTAAAATTGAATCTAAAAATAAATGAAAAAAATATTAAAATGTTTCTGAGTTACGTGTGAATGACAATTGAAATTTGCATTATAGCAATTAGAGGAACAAGGGTACCTGCATAATGAACATTTGCATACCTAACCCTTAATTGTATCCCACATCTTTAAAATGAAAGTAAGAAAAAAAAAAACAATTAGAGGAACTCATATTGGTAATTGTGAGAAGTCCTTGAATTTATAATCTAGTCGAACATGTGAGAACAGATAGAAGTATTTCAGCTATCCGCTAAGGGTTTCCTTTGAGTAAAGCCACATGGATCTTTTTCATAAATTCTTAGTAAAATACCAAATGGAATAACAATGGCCGACTGGGTAACCAGAACTGTAAAAAATTGCTTGCTTTATAAAACATTTGTTAAGATATTTAAAAGTTTTTGATATAGGTTGTAATTATGAACTAATGCAATGTAACATTTCAGTGTAACAGGCTCCTGCTAGAACTATAGTATATGCCTTGAAAGTAATAAATATTGACTGACTCTATCTTACAATCTACATTCAACTCATCTTTGAAACTCGTCTGTGAAAAAAAGATCAAATAATATTTAAATACTGATTATTCCTTCAGAATTGTTTTAAACCCTCTTTCTTGTTTCCTTGTATTTAAATGGTGCACAAAGAAAGAGTTTCTAACCTAATGCTTTTCTGGAGATGGTCTGATGACAGAAATGTTATTTTTCATGTTTTCTGAATGTATGCGATATGTCAAACTCTTAGCTATATTATCTTGTTTGAAGACTTATGACACAGTTAATATTATTCTGATTTTATGAATGAAAAAACTGAACCTCCAAAAGTCAGTTAAAGGCTTGTTAAAGTTAAACCATCTCTAAGCAGACGAGTCAGTCCTTGACTATACTGGCAGTTCCAATGAATTTAAGCTTAATTTAGAAACTAAACTAAGTTTAAAAAGTAGAGTATGTGTAGAGGGGAACATTTGTACAGAAGAGGTACAATTTGCTAAGTTTATCAGGTGACTGCATAGGATACGCCTTCCTACAATGATGTCTCTGAAGATGTTCCTGATTCTTCTCAGGAGTCAGCCTGTGACATCACTGTTCTTTAACGCAAATTTGTGAAAATCATTTACCTTTACTGAATACATTGTGTTGGTTGTAAATTCAATTAAGGCAAAACATGAAGTATTAATAGTAATAGATAGGGAGGGATTCTATTTAAAGCTAATATATCAAAACAATAACCTTTTGAAATTCGTTACATTGATTTTCCAAATAGATGGACAATCTTCAAGACTGCTGCTTGAGTATCCCAAAAGGTTAGGTTGACTAAATGCTAGGCTTATCATTTGAAAATGGGCAGGGCCAAAGTAATGAACTTATTTTTGACAGACCATGGCTGATCAGAGAGAGAGAGAGAGAGACAGACAAAGAGAGAGAGAGAGAGAGAGAGACCTAAAAATGGGATTTTCTGACTAAACAAATTACTCTGGTAAAAAGAGGCCTTGGAATCGATTCTTCCAGACATAACATAAGTAAGTTTAATGCTTATGCAATTTAAATGGATTGGTTTTCATAGTCAAACTTCTCAATTTCTGTGACTGAACCTGTAAGAATATGTCAGTTTAATGTCATATTAAACTCCTGATTTCACTGCACCCACGTCTTTGAAGACCTCCCCTTTCAGTCCCACCCCCATGCCTGTAAAGGCAAATACATTCTTCTAGTCGCTGGATCACTCAGGCCCTAAACCTTAATCTCTGACTTTTCTCTTCATCTCACATTTCATAAGCAGTCCATCAGCCAAGCCTGTCAAGTCCTCTACCACATTTTTGCCAAAACTAGTCACTTCTCACTGTTTCCCCACCACTGTAACGGTCACTATAATTCTAGTTCAAGCCACTTATATTTTTGGTGGCCCTTTGAAAACAGCCTCCGAGTCTAGTGGGTATCACCCCCTGCTTCCCCTCCTCGCAGTTCCTGCTTTGGCTTCTTCACACTGTTGAAGAAGCAGTCAGAAAGAGCATTTACAATGCCAATTCCCATGTGCTTCTCCATCCTATCCATCCCTAGGTCTCTTAAGATGCGCTGGTTTTCTTGATGACACATGTCACCTCTTGATGCATATTTGCTTGTGTATTCTTGGTTTTTCTCCCATCATTATGAAAGCGCCATGAAAGGACAGACTTTTCTTTTTCAGTTGGAACAATGCCTGGCCTGTAATGATCTTCAACCAATATTTGTTGTGAAAACCAGTAGATGGCTGCCACTCGAGTGTCGTCTAACTCAGGAAGTTTTCGTTGGTCAATAGGACTGCTTAAGTGCCCCATCTCATGCCTTCCTTACAATGAAGTGCACACCTCTGTCTCCTTACTCTGTATCGTTTCACAGGTCTGCGTAACTTTTCCCTATTCAATTGATCTTTGAGCATGGGGAATTGTCTCTTTTTATTTTCAGCATTATCATAAGGCTGAGCATCGAATCCACGTTCTATACACATTGAAATGGAAAGAATAAAAGAATGTATACATGCTAAGCCTCCTTAAGAAATATCTCCGCTCTCCCTGCAGTCATTAGGGATGATAGTCCTTTGAATATAAAATACCAAATTATATAGATATCTGGATCAAATCTGTATGACCTTGCAATATAGCTAACAGCTTAGTAAAGGTTTTGTGTTTGGGCTTTGTTGGTGAAATCATCTGTGTCTTTCAACCACCCAATTTTGTGTATTTCCAGAGATCATCTATAGCTGGGTATTTAATGAGTTCCCTTCCTTTGTGGTGGAAGACAGCCGGCGGTTCATTTCCCAGGAGACAGGCAACCTTTATATTTCTAAAGTCCAAACATCAGATGTCGGCAGCTATATTTGTCTGGTGAAAAACACAGTGACGAACGCTCGGGTCCTCAGTCCGCCAACTCCGCTCACCCTACGCAATGACGGTAAGTTTCTTGGCCCCTTATAAGGGCCAGCCATCTCAGATGTCAACAGTAAAGATGTATTTGTGTTTTTCCAAGAACTTGAACTTACAAAATAAAATTAAAAGGCACTTGCCATATTTAGAAACTCCCTAGTTTAAGGCTGAGATTATGCATGCCTCGGAATAAAAATTTTGACATAGGAAAGTGAAGACTCATGTTTGAGAGATATTCGCCATAATGCCACTCTAATACCAGAAAGGGAGAGTGAATCTAAAAAGAAGAACTGACATAAAGACTCCACGGTTCTTTTCTTTGCTCTTTAGTGCCTCTCTGTAGCATATGCGTATGAATGGCAAGCATTTTATGCATTCACTTTTCATTACATTTTTACTTTAGCTGCCTTCAAACTGAATGTTCAGCTTTTAATACTTCATGGTATAGTTATAATTGTTATTATTACTTTTCCAATAATAGGAGCAGTTGGGACTTTAACTTTTAAGTGCAATTCAGGCAGAAGTGATGATTCTATAATTATAGGTATTGCCGTCTATCTAAAGTATCTTCAAATTTAAACACCTCATTTGTATTTATAGACATTTACAGTTAAGCGTTGCATTAAAGAAGTCAAGTGCTATGTTACCATTGATATATGATATGCAGCTTGCTCTGTCATGCAATGAAAAAATCTATGAAGGCATTAGTAAGAGGTGAGCCTGAGAATCCTGATTGATTGAGAAGTTTAAAAAAAAATCTATATCCACACTGTTTTTTGTATGCTTGTTTTTAGAATACTGCTGGAATGTCTGACAAGAACTATGTCACAAGATTTTTGCTTACTATTTAGTTTCTCATAGATTTTATATAAATATATATATATAATTTATGTGGATATGGTTATGAGACTTCATAAACTATAAGGCATATATGTATACACACTGTATTATATTTTGTATACATGATTATGATAATCCTATCAGGTAGAAAGTAAAAGTGCAATATCCATTTGGAGATGAGGAAGCCAATCTTAAAGAGATGAAGGAATCTGTCAAAGGCCACACAGATAATGGCACAAAGAAATTGGAGGGAAAAGAAACGGAGGCTTCGAAACCAATTCAGGGTTTACCAAAACCAACTAGCCAAGAGGTGTTAGGAGCTTGGAGGCCAGACATATGGCTAGATATTAAGAAGGGAGAATTACTAGCATTTAATAATTAATGAAATCCGGGGCTTCGAAGTAGAAGAAAGCTAGTATATACACGGGAGGGAGTCTGGAAAAAAAACAGAGTTATCTTTTGGAGAGTAGGTCCCTCGTCTACGGGCTTCCCCCTCTGGGTCAGTGTTCGAGGAACCCACCAGCATCTGTGGTCCCGCTAGCGCTGTTGTGAGAGGCTGTATTCGACTTCAGTGAATATCGTTGGAGGTTCTTTCAACACGTTTGCCCATTTCATGAGGGGGGATCTACCCGTTCCCCTGCCCACACTGCACTGAGTGTTCAGCAGTTTGGGGTCAAAAATGGCATGACCCCCATGGCCTCCCCTCCCCATCCACCCAGTCTTGCCCCAAGTGACTTTTTTTTGTTCCCCGGATGAAAAGTTTCTCAAAGGGAACTGTCTGGCTGATGTGGAAGAGATGAAACAAAAAACAACAGAAGCACTAAAAGCCATCAAAAGTTCGAAAGCAGTGGGAAAAGCATCTCAATCTATGTATCGCATCCAACAGAGAGGACTTTAAGGGTGTCTGAAGTTTAAACATGGAAGAATAAACACACAATTTTTTATAAATAAGTTATGTTTTGGGGGACTCCCCCTCCCAACAATTTCAAGGCATTAGCATAGCTCATTGAATGTGACTCTCTTCACCAGAAAAGATACCACAGGTAAAGGAACAAAGGACTGGGCAAACATGAGGAATCCAATTTTAGATATGATGTAATAAAGTATACATGGGAAATCAACGTGGAAATATACAACAGGCAGTCATACGTGTCCCTAACACCCACGCGAGAGGGCAAGGCTAGAGAAAGGTATTTAAACATCACCATTGTGTATTCTATCACTGTGGAATGAGGGTGTATCTATTATGACAACCCCAAGGTTATGTAAGAATGTCTACAGGATGAAGAGAAAAAAGAAAAAAAAAGATATGCATTTTTAAAACGTATCTAACTAAAAGCTTGGAATTGAGGAGAGTTTCTATAAGTCTTTCCACAAAATTTCTGAGCACTATTTTACAGATGCCTTAAAAATGTCAAGCATCCTTATCTGAAAATGATAACATTTTGTAGGCTAACCAATAATTAGCTGCATTCTCACCATCCATCTGTGCAACAATACCTTACATGCAGAGAGTATTACCTGAGTGAAGGAGACTTTTCCTTCTTCTTCTCACGCAGCAGAGCTCTTTCTACCCATAGTCCTGACCTTCACAAGGGAGAGGAGCCCACGTGTATGTTAGAATTTGAAAATGGATACCTCCTTCTCTAGTAAGTTAAAAGTTCAGTATGTGCAACTGTCCCTTGCACTTTTGTTTCCTGGTCCAGACGTCTCACTTATTCCTTTTTGAGAGCAAACATTTCAAGGAAAATCTTTTACTGATATGTACACATCCTTCTCTCTCTCTCTCTCTCTCTCTCTCTCTCTCTCTCTCTTTCTGTTGCTTTGGTCTGGCAAAACCCCAGAAACCACAGTCTTACTCCGTGACTGCCTTGAGAATCTGAAGACTGCTTGAAAAGGTTACACCCACCGTGGGTTTATGATCACCCGCTTCAAAAGGGTCTTCAACGCTGCCCCTTAATCCACGAGTTCCTGTGGATGGTTTAATCTGTACTCCCTTCCAAAAGTCTGGAAACATCTCTGCTTTCCTTAAACTGAACTGCCTCACCACCACCACTTCAGAAAAAACGATGTGGGTGATCAGATTCATGTCCCTACAAATAAAATCCAATCTCACTCCATCTCCATCCTCACAACTCTCCCCTTACTCTATTTCAGTGCAGATACCGAACTTCTCTCCTCCTAAAGAGCCCACCCTCCATCCTTGACTGCTGATTATCCTTCCCCCGGCCTTCCGTTACATGACACTATCAGTCACTGCTTCTTGTAGTAATATAACCAATGCTATGTCGCTAAACTAGCAAACCTATTTTAATCATTTTATTAATTGAAGCAACGGTAGCAGTTGACATTGTTGACACATTTTTTTCTTTTACAAGCATCTATCTTTTCAACAAATCATTATTTGAGAAGTAATTCATGAAAGGTTCAATAAAGTAAATATAAATAAGTAGAACAAAACTGTTATTTTAAGGTTAACATTTAACTTAACAAAAAACAGATGGGAAACATCTGCTGAATTTTGATTACATCATTCAGTGACAAACAGTCTCACTTTTTAGTAGAGAAGTTAGAAAATTTGCATTTATATTTTCTGTAAATTACCTAAGGTTATTTTTTCCCCTTGGCTTTTCTTTGTCTATTAATGTTTTTTCTGCTTTTTTACTTGAAGTAACACATGCCTATTGAATTGATGTAGTGACATAGAGAAACAAATAAACATTAAAAGGTACTCCCCCCTCCTTGCCATTAAATCCCACCCTCAAGAGCCGACCTTTTAACTTTTTTTTTCTTCCTGAGGTTCTTATACAATGTTAGAAAATATCTGTGCTTCTGGGTTAATCGAGCTTAAAGATAACTGTTTATTCCTTTATATAATAAGTGTGCATATGTTTATTCTATCTCCTGTCTTACATTTATATTTTTAATAGTTTGCTATTGGTTACCTTTTTAACTCTGATAATGTACTTGAAACTCTGCTGTTCTCTTAACTCTTGAAAATGATTCTTAACTTTTTGTGTCATTAATGAGGATAATTTTGTCCCTACTTTTTCCTTCATCTTTCCAAAACTACTTTTATGTTCTTTTTTTTTTAACTTTTATTTTGGCAAATCTCTCCAGCAAGTAACCAAGTCTTCTACACGTCTGTTTAGACTAACTCAATTAGCTGAAAAACAAATGGATATTTACAAATTATTACTAAATAATCATCATTTGATATCATAGTGTTCCAGATTTTTTAGACCATTTTCTAGATCTGTATGATAAATTGTATGAATTTTTCATAATGATTGAAACTTCGAATTGAATATAACAAAGAAAAATAAAACTTATAGCATTAATAAGATTGTGATACAGTTTGAATGTAGTGTTTCTGAAAATCCTGTTGTAAAAACAATTAGTCCTTTGAATGAGAGTGTTCGGATAGAAACACGAGTTGTCACAATCAGATGATAATGAAACGCTTGGTGCAGTTAAGAAAGCACACGGAAAGAGTATAAAATGAGAAGAGAAGTGAGCTTAGGATCAAGCCTTAAATAATCCAGATACATTGGTAGGGTGAGTCATGAAAATCCTACAAAAGATAACAAGGAGAAGGTAGAGAGATTACCAGAAAAAAAACAGTGGAGCGCATTGTCAAGAAAGCCAAAGAAGAGAAGTGTCTCAACAAGCAGTGGGCATGCCACGCAAGGCGGTAGCTTGGGTGTATGTATGTACTTGGCCCTCTTCTCAGACCCTACCAAAAGAATTCTACATTATCAACACGAATGCTGAAGGGGAGGAGGTACATTACCAGCAGGCAAGACATTCTGACATATTTCTGAAAGGATAAGGAAAGATATGAGTAACAGGATTAAGGAGGTGGCCACAAGGGAAACCTAGAGTAGAGTTGAAAGAGTCTCAAGAAGGGCTGGGAGACCACGTACCCAATAGAAGCATGAAGAATCTCTGAAATCAAAACGAGCACTAAAAATAGTTGTATAATGAGAAATGAGACTGAACAAAGGGCAAGTCGAGATGTAGATACTTAATAATTGTTTCAGTAAAATGTTGGACTCCCTTGCCTTCCTGACCTCTACATGCAAACAGACCCAAGGGCTCATCTCTTAAGAGGAATGAACTTTCCATGGAAAGTCCACGTTTTAAGTGTGAATGGTGGCACCCTAGCGGAAAACCTCCTTATGCAGG